GCCGGGTGCGGGGCGGCTCTCGTGGGAGCCCCCCCGCCAGGCTCTGTGCAGGCTCCAGCCACAAACGGCACCCGTGCGGTCCTCACGGGGGCCGGCCGCCAAGTGTGGGAAACAGATGCCCGGGTCACGGGAGCCGCAAACGGGGGTATTCATTGTGACGACAGGGGCTCCCGGTCCCGACTAGTGGGACCTCCGTGTGGAGGAGGGTTTAGCCAAGCATAGGATGGAGGGCAGGCAGACGGTGAAGCCCGTGCAAAGGCCCTGGGGAAAGCTGGGCCATGCAGGGAGATGCAGAGTTTGGGGTGGGTGCCTCGGGTGGTGGGTGGTGAGCACCTAGGCTGGGGGCGCTAGGCAGGGATCAGGGACCCCAGGCTGCGGTTTGGCATTTTTCCCGAGAGCCCTGGGGAGCCGTTGAGGGTTGTAGAACACTCGGAAGCTCACGGAGCCTGGAAGGGGACCCTGTGGATCTCCAGAAAGAAGCAAGAGCTGGGTCCCCAGATGTGCCCGGTGGCCTCGGGCGGGTCCTGTCTGTGCTCACAGGCCTGTTGTCCCCTCTGCCCCATGCTGAACCTCGAGGAGCCCGAGGGCCACTCTGCTCCTTTTTGAGTTGGCTTTGGCAGCTTGGGTCTCCCCAGGTTCATCCGTTGTATCTGGGTTGCCCTTTGTTGGCATAAACCCTTCTGTAAGGCCGGTGCCACGGCTAATCCCAATCATTTATGCCTTTTCTTCTTAGTCTGGCTGCAGATGAGTCCGTTTTGTGAATCTTCTCAAAGATCCGTCATTCAGTTTCATTCGTTTCCCTCTCTTGTTTTTTCGATTCTCAACGTCACTATTTTATCTTTACTCTTGAATCTTTATTTTTCCTTCCTTTTGCTCGCTTTGGATGTAGTTACCTCCTGTCTTTCTCGTTCCTTAAGGCGGAAGCTTAAACTTTGCGTCTGAAAATTTTCTTCTTTTCTGAGGTAGGCATTTACGGCCAGAAAGTCCCTCTAAACACGGCTGTCCCGCATCCCGCAGGGTCAGGGTCTGCCCTGCGTTTACTTCCACTCATCTCAGAGCACCTTCTGGTTCCCGTCGCGATTTCTCCCGCGACCCCCGGCCGTCTGGCAGTGCGTTTTTCACGTCCACGTATTCGTGGATTTCCCAAACTCCCGTCCGTTACCGATTCCTGGTTTCATCCTGCCGTCGCCGGAGATCATGCTCTGTAAGACGTCAGGCTCTCACATTTACTGAGCGTCGCCTGGTGATTCGGCGACTGAGAACGCGATATGTGCGGTCTCCCCGGTCACCGTGTTGTTCTGATCTTCTGTGTCCTTGTCGGTGGTCCGCTTGGCGGGGAGCCCATCCGGCCATTCTCGGCCGGAGACTGGCTTCGTGAGGGAGCGCTGGCTCCGGAACGCCGGGAGCTGGGTTTGAATCGCAGCCCCACTGCGTGCTGTGTGCCCCAGACTCAGTGTGCCCGCCTGCGGCATGGGCAGCCCGGTGCTCCCTGCCTCGTCGGCGTGGGGTGAAGGCAGCCCCTGTCCGTCACCCCAGGAGGGGTTTTGTGAAGCAGAAGCAGGAAGCCCGGTGCGGTGGGAGAGGCTGGCCAGGACCCCCGGGCCCGGGACGTGTAGACGCGGTCAGCGCCGTGTGTGTGACGTGCCCCAGCGGGCTCGTCACGGCGTGCTCTTGGCTGTGCGGCCCGGAGCGGATCGCGTAGCCGGTCTGGACTCAGTTTCCCCGCTGCACCGACCCCACTAGAGTCATGGAGGAGGCAGGCACACGGCAGGGGCCTTCAAACCCTGTAGATGTCACCGCCGTGCGTGACGGCGATGCCTTCCTCTCGTTCTCCCCGCCCAGGCCAGCTGTGTGCCGTCCAGAGGCTTTGTCACTTCTACAGCACGGTCATGCCCAGCGAGGCCCAGTGCGTCGTCTACCACGAGTTCCAGCTGTCGCTGGCCCGCAGGGTGGCGGACAAGGTGCTGGAGGGGCAGCTCCTGGAGACCATCAGCCGGCTCTACCTGTCCCTGGGCACCGAGCGGTGAGGGCCGGTTCCGCGGGCAGGGCGGGGAGGACCCCGGCCCTGGTCCTGGGGTGGCCCCTCCTCAGGGACCACTTCATTCCTTAGTGTCAGATAAGCTCCGAGCTGGCCGGCCTGGGGGTGTCCCCAGCAGCGCTCGTGGCACAGGGTTCCCCTGAAGGGTGTCCCCTCGTCTCCACGTACACACCACAGTGGAGGCAGACCGTGCGTTTCTGGGCCATTCTTCGTGACACAGTGGCTTTTGTAAGCTGACCTCTGCCTGCCCCGAGTGTCCACCAGCCAGCCCAGCTCTGGGCCAGGCAGTCTGTTTCCAGCTGTCCCCTCAGATGTGAGGACAGTGGCCACGTGTACCTGAAGGATTCTCATCCGCAGGGAAATACCTGGCTGTCCCACCTGCTTCTTCGGGGCAGGGTTTCAGGGTCCTCTGTCCCCTGTGACGCCCACACTGACCATCCCGATCAGATGGACGGTCCCGGGAACGTCACTGGTAACACCCCTCCCGGCTGGGGACTCGCTGAGAGGCAGGGAAGGAGCCAGGTTTCCACAGGACTTCGGGGGCCTCTGCCCCTCCCACCTGGGCCTCAGTTTCACAGCAGAACTGACGGGCAGTGACCTTGATCACTGCTTCTCAAATTGGGGGAGAATATCGCCCGGGTGCTCGCTGCAAAAGCACATTCTCGGGCCCCACCCCAGACCTGCTGCGGCAGAAACCCTAGGAATAGGGCCCCTCGGCCACACTGGGGTTTGAGAACCACTGGCCTAGGTTGTCTCTCAATTTCTGCCCACACACACGTTCCCCGCTGCACCCAGAGAGGTCGCGCCTGTGTCCGGGGAGTGGGGCAGGGACAGAATGGCCCACTCCCTGACCCCATTTCCTTCCAAAAAGCCTCCCTTACTTTCGCCGGGCAAGCCCAAGCCGGCAGACGGGCACCAGGAAGAGCCTGGTCTGCTCCCCCGGGGACAGCCGGCCCGGGAGCGCGCGCTCTGACCCCCTCTCTAATCCCAGGGCCTACAGGTCCGCCCTGGACTACACGAAGCGCAGTCTGGGCATTTTCATCGACCTGCAGAAGAAGGAGAAGGAGGCGCACGCGTGGCTGCAGGCGGGGAAGATCTATTACATCCTCCAGCAGAACGAGCTGGTAGACGTGTACCTCCAGGTGCTGGGGCGCCCTGTCCTTCATCCCCTCCGCCTGCGGGGCACCCGCTGCGTGCCAGCTGCCTGTGAGGCCCCCACCATGGACCACCACCCCTGGACCCCCACCCCTGAACCCCCAGCCCTGGATTCCCAGCCCTGGACCCCTACCCTCTGAACCCCCAGCCCTGGACCCCCAGCCCTGAACCCCCAGCCCTGGACGCCTGGGACCCCCAGCCCTAGACCCCCATCCCTGTATTCCCAGCCCTGGACTGCCACCCGTGGACCCCCAGCCCTGGGCCCCCACCACTGAACCCCCAGCCCTGGATTCCCAGCCCTGGACCGCCACCCCTGGACGCCCCAGCCCTAGACCCCCATCTCTGTATTCCCAGCCCTGGACCCCCAGCCCTGGACCCCCACTGCCCGGCATCTTCCACAACAATCCGAGCCCTCCCAAGGGGCCAGAGGCGTGTGCCCCTCACCACAGCCACCACCGTGTTGGTACCCAGCAAGCGCTCAATAAATGTGCAAATGACGCGTCCACCGCGTTGGCACACAGAAGAATTTTCTTCAGTGGCAAATGGCGTGCCTCCTTAAAAAACCCACTTATCACAGAAGCTCCGTTTCCAGTTGCGTTCCAAGCTTGACATGACTTGGAATAGATTGAGAGGCTCGTGAGGCCAATGAGTGTTTTCACTTTTGAGCGCTTGCTGTGTACTTCCCTGGGCCATGGGCCGAGGGTCCCGGGGCTCACCGCTGACGGGGCAGGCGCCTCGGGGCTGCGGGCAGAGCTGCGGGCAGGGGTGCGGTTGTGCACAGAGGGGCCGGGAGGGCGAGCTCCGGTCGGTTTGGGGTGCAGGGTGCGTGGGGCCAGTGCCCAACTGGGAAGAGGGCTTCCCAGCAGTAGGGGATTCACAGGGGCAGAGGCCAAAGGTTCATGGGACTGTGGAAGGTTCTGGATTGCCGGCAGGGCTAGGCCACTCTTGTCCACTCAGCTGGTGTTGGTTGAGCACCTATTATGGGCCAGGCACCGTGCTGGGCCCCAGATGCAGCAGAGAAGCAGCAGTCTTAGTCGTCTGCTCAGAGAGACAGGCAGGTGTTGCTAAGGGCCACGGAGGGACACAGTGGAGGGGACCCCAGCGGAGAGAATGCCGGGGTCCGGGTGTGACCGCCGGGACCCGGAGGCCACCTCGGAGCTGGCTCCCAAACTCCTCAGCAGCCCGCACTTGCGGACCCCCGGCGCCCTAGCTGGACGGGCCTCCCCATGGGATGTAGTGGGAAATGATGTCCCCAGCTGCACAGGGACTGAACAAGGCCAGTCCCTCTGGAGGGAGAGGAAAGAGTCACCCGGAGCACGTGTTGTGGGTCCTCGGGGTTGCCTCGAGGGTCTGGGGGAGCCCTGTGGGTCTCACGAGAGCTTCTGCACGCCCGCAGGTGGCCCAGAACGCAGCCCTGTACACGGGGGACCCCAACCTGGGGCTGGAGCTGTTTGAGGCGGCTGGGGACATCTTCTTCAACGGGACCTGGGAGCGGGAGAAAGCCGTGTCCTTCTACCGGGTGAGCCGGGCGGTGAGGGTGGGCGTCAGGGGTGGGGGCGCCTTCCATGGGAGTTTGGGGGGGCCGGCGGAGGCCTCCCGCCAGGAGGGAGGACTGCCCCACGCACCCGCTTACTTGCTTGGTGGTTTCGCCTGGGATGATCTTGTCCCCCACCCTCACCTGGGAGGGACAGAGAAAGGAGAGGCTGTTTGAGGGACGGAGGCAGCTTTAGGCTTACAGCACCTCAAACCTCAGGGAGGCCAGTCCTGTTCCACTTCGCAGATGAGGAAACTGAGGCTCAGAGAGGCACAGGGGTGTATCACGGGACACACAGCCCCGGGGCCCAGGTCTGCGTGTGCCTGCGCGCCCAGCTCACGGCCTGCGGCTCAGCCCTGGGGAACAGAGAAACGTGCGTGTTTAGACCGCGGGGTTGGGCCCTCCTGGTCAGGCTCTCACCCTCCGGGGACGGGCTGGTCCCAGGCTGCTGAGACAGATGGGCTGCAGGCCACATCCCAGCTTGCTGGTGGCTCAGTGCCCTGGGGCTGCCAGGACCTCTCTGAGCCGAACACAGATACAGCGGGATGATGGGGAGGACGCTCCCAGCGTGCGGTCGGGGCTCTGAGGGGGTGCTGGTCCCGGGCCGGCCGCCGCAGGTGAGGCCTGACCCACCCGCCCGTGTGGCAGGATCGGGCGCTGCCCTTGGCCTCCACCACAGGGAACCAGGAGGCCGAGCTGCGTCTGTGCAACAAGCTGGTGGCACTGCTGGCCGAGCTGGACGCGCCCCGGGAGGGCCTGGAGTTCGCCCACATGGCCCTGGCGCTCAGCATCACCCTGGGTAAGCCCTGCACCCCGGCCCCGGCGGGGGAGACCTGGAGGGCGGGCGCAGAAGGGCCGAGGCGTGGAACCCGGCCCGCGTGCGGGGCTGCTTCCGTCTGCAAGCCGCCTCCTCCGTGCAGGCGGGCTGGGATGCCCTGGGGGACACGTCACACTCACGGGGTGGCTGGGCTTTCTTGGCCAGCTGACCACCAAGGCCGGCCACCATGCCCCGCGGTCTGAACACCCCGGCTTGTCACCAGCCCCGGCACGCGCCTGTCTGCGTGCCGTCCCTTACCCTTGTTCCTCGCCACACTCAGCCAGCCCCGCTGTCACCTGGCTGGCGAGATCCCCTCACTGCCGGGCACCTCGTGTCCTAGCACCTAACTGTGCTGCTCCCAGCCACCTGTCTTCCCCTCGGAGACAGGACTGGGTGTGCAGACCCCACAGTGCTCGCCTGGAAGGGGGACGATCTGGAGACATCCGGAGGGC